ACGACTAGCGTATGTACGTACAGACAAAGTAAGCAATCATATCTCTGATAAAATTTATTTCGCCACCAGGTATAATGTTTTGGTCAATACTGTTAAGTTAGAAGCAATCATCTCCCCTGATAAAAAATTTACTTCGCCACCAGGTATAAGTGTTTTGGCAATCTGTTTAAGTAGAAGCAATCATCTCCCCTGATAAAAATTTATTTCGCCACCAGTTATAAGTGTTTTGGCAATCTGTTTAAGTAGAAGCAATCATATCCCCTGATAAAAATTTATTTCGCCACCAGGTATAAGTGTTTTGGCAATCTGTTTAAGTAGAAGCAATCATATCCCCTGATAAAAATTTATTTCGCCACCAGTTATAAGTGTTTTGGCAATCTGTTTAAGTAGAAGCAATCATCTCCCCTGATAAAAAATTATTTCGCCACCAGGTATAAGTGTTTTGGCAATCTGTTTAAGTAGAAGCAATCATATCCCCTGATAAAAATTTATTTCGCCACCAGGTATAAGTGTTTTCGATGCATAAACGTCGTCACATTTTTTGTTTTATGTGCACCTTTTTACCAGACACCCTGTGCTAAACTAAACACCTGAAAAGAAGTAAGAAATGTGTTTTTCTCTCTACTTTTTTGTGTGAATCTATCTGTATACTTTTATGATTTAAATAGTCAAAAATCCTGTTTAAAATGACTATTGTTATTTATGAAGAAAATGTAATTATGAATAATTTCTAACCACAATAAGAATATTAGCGATAAACACATTCTTAAAGAAATGGCCCGGCATGGCCAGGTGATTAGGGCTCTCGACTCGCAATCCCCGTTACACCAAACATGCTCGCCCTATCCGCTATGGAGGCGTTATAATGTGACCGTCAATCCCACTATTCGTTAGTTAAAGAGCAGCCCAAGAGTTGGCGGTGGGTGGTAATGACTAGCTACCTTCCATCTAGTGTTACACTGCTAAATTAGGGACGGTTAGTGCAGATAACCCTTGTGTAGCTTTGCACGAAATTCATAATAAACCAAACTTAAAGAGATATCTTAACTTTGATTTGAAAGCTATGTCTAGGCAATTGTTAAGCAACATAAACGAGCATATGCATGAATAGGTTGTTTATTGGTCGTTAAGCACATAATTATATAGTGGGCTATTTGTGATGTGTCAGTCACGGGTATCGAAACCCGATTTTTAGTGTCATATGTCACAGAAACTTATCACTGAGCCACTGGGGTTTCGTATGCATGGGACAACGAAAATACAACACATCAGTTTTTTTGACGTCGATGTTATTTTAAGTATATATCATCTATTCCCACTTACAAAGATTTCCACGTGTAAAATTTACTCTTCATCTTCATAAGAAAATTATGAAAACAACGCAATCTGAAATTGTGTTATTTTAAGTGTGTATCATCTATTCCCACTTACAAAGATTTCCACGTGTAAAATTTACTCTTCATCTTCATAAAAAAATTATGAAAACAACGCAATCTGAAATTGTGTTTGTGAAATTTAGTGTTTAATTTTATCTGGCGTTCAAAACATTTATACAGCTATAAACTAACTAAGTGTAGACACTGTTTTAAAATCACAGATGGTTTGTTTGTACTTAAGCAAAAAGCTACACAATGGGCTATCTGTGATCTGCCCACCACGGGTATCGAAAGCCGGTTTCTAGCGTTAGAAGTCCGCAGACATACCGCTGTACCAGTGGGGGGGCTAAATTACAGATGAAGTCGAAATTAACAAAGAAACGGCTTTTAACATTTCCGCTTCACAGTAAATTTATATTTTGTTATACACGAACTCGTATGG